GTGCCGGCACCACGTTCACCCAGTGGGCCGTAAATGACATGTACTGTCCCTGACCGTAGTTACAGCTCCACACGTCGGCGCTGCCGTGCACTTTGGCAGAGACCGACATGCTCAAAGACTGGCCCACCATCTCTTCTACATGTGAATGCAGGGCTGGCACTGCCTTTTTTGGCGAAGAAATGCCGGCTTGGCACTCTCCACCGCGGCTCGGCACAAGCCATCATTTCTCGGAAAGGTGCTGAGTCCACCACTTGGAAAGGGAGGGACTGCAGCACCAGCAACTTGGACAGGAGGACGTTCAGCTTCTGCACCGTCGGGTGCGTGCTCGCAAACTGTTGTCTCTTGGAAACGGATTCCAAGAAAGACTGCTGACGGAATCCGTGAAGAGGAGTAGCAGGAGAAGGAGCATCTGAACGAGCGGAAGATGCCAACGAGCGACAACTCCCCTCAGCAGAGGTGTTGGAGCCTTGACTGGCTGATAGAGGGCGATTGACGTCGGGTGACGGAGCAAGTAACGGAGCGGGTGATGGAGCGGGGGCTGGGGCAGGCAGAACCGCCGTATCTTTATCACGGTTTTCCCAGGCCACCGAATGGCGACGCTGCATATGCTGACGCAACGCTGTAGTCCCAACATTGGCCCCCTGGCCACGCTTGACTTTCTGGCCACATAGTCGACATACGGCTACGTTTACTTCCTCGGGCGGCTTGACGAAAAATTGCCACACCGCCGAGTAGGAAACTTTGCCCCCGCTACTCCTCACTGGCTGACTGCTACTTCCTCCGTGCACACCGGCACCACTACTGGCCGTGGTGGTAGGCTGCAGTGGAGCTGGTGCTCTACTCCGTGGCCGTTTGGCTCCACTGACACTGCTGCGACCCTGCTGCCTCCTGGGCAACCCACCGACTGTTTTGCTCGCTGGCAAGCTGGCACCCTCTTCTCCTGATGATGCGGAAGCAATAGCCTGATGACGACGAGGCTGCCAAGTGCGATCAGCCTCATCATCATCAATTAGGGTCTCCGCGTCACTACTAGCCCCCCTCGGCTGCGTGTGGGTCAGGAGACAGACCTGTCTCTAGACCGGCTACCGAGCCACTCTCCTCGCCAGTACTTTCTTCGCCTGGCTGCTGAAGAGGCGGATGTCTCCCCCCGTTCCTGACCGCCCTCTGTTAGCTCTTCCTCACTGTACAGTGGGGCTGAGCCCACAGCATGCGATACTTCGCTTGGTGAGGGAACACCAAAGGACAGGGGCAGGTCGAGGACACGTGATTTCAGTGGGCTTGCTCCCGGGCCATGCCAACTAACGGTTGTGTCTGACGTACCCACCGACCGTTGGCTGTAGGTGTCAGAGGTGACCTGGGAAGAGGAAGACGACGACGAGTCAACCAATCGATGACGGCAGGGTTGTCGGTGGAGACACGACCGCTGGATGACACCGGGAGCACTGGCCTCTGGCTGCGACTAGTGCTGCTGCCTCGACCCCTTCCTCTGCTGCCACGTCTGCTCGCTCCTGAAACATTGCCTCCTCTGCCACTCCTCTGCGTGTTGTCTGACATACTCTTTAATTCAATAAGCACCCCAAAAATAAAACCGGATTTAACTCTTTGAACGTACAATAGTGGTTGTGAAGCAGAAAGTCAGTTTATTTAGCACAATCGGTCAATTGCAGCTTGCCGTTGGCTGGAAACTGTACGTTTATGTCACTGGAATGCACTAATCACCCAAAAAATATTACCGCCACCCGGCGTGTAAATGGATCTAACTCTTTGAACGTACAATAGTGGTTGTGAAGCAGAAAGTCAGTTTATTTAGCACAATCGGTCAATTGCAGCTTGCCGTTGGCTGGAAACTGTACGTTTCTGTCACTGGAATGCACTAATCACCCAAAAATTATTACCGCCAGCCGGCGTGTAAATGGATTTAACTCTTTGAACGTACAATAGTGGTTGTGAAGCAGAAAGTCAGTTTATTTAGCACAATCGGTCAATTGCAGCTTGCCGTTGGCTGGAAACTGTACGTTTATGTCACTGGAATGCACTAATCACCCAAAAAATATTACCGCCAGCCGGCGTGTAAATGGATTTAACTCTTTGAACGTACAATAGTGGTTGTGAAGCAGAAAGTCAGTTTATTGTACACAATCGGTCAATTGCAGCTTGCCGTTGGCTGGAAACTGTACGTTTATGTCACTGGAATGCACTAATCACCCAAAAAATATTACCGCCAGCCGGCGTGTAAATGGATTTAACTCTTTGAACGTACAATAGTGGTTGTGAAGCAGAAAGTCAGTTTATTTTGCACAATCGGCAAACTGCAGCACCAACTGTGCACGACAGCCACCAAAAAAAAAAATGGTGTATGTCACTTTAAATTTTCAATTCTTTGATAGCTGTGGCCCTAAGTAACGATTCTGTGTCCCTGAGTAACGATTCTGTGTCCCTGAGTAACGATTCTGTGTCCCTGAGTAACGATTCTTTGTCCCTGAGTAACGATTCTGTGTCCCTGAGTAACGATTCTGTGTCCCTGAGTAACGATTCTGTGTCCCTGAGTAACAATTCTGTGTCCCTGAGTAACAATTCTGTGTCCCTGAGTAACGATTCTGTGGCCCTAAAGTCTCTGTGGCCCTAACTCTGTCCCTCAATACACAGAGGTCTGTCTCTCTTGAATGACCGGAGGCTAATGGAGAATTCTAAGATGGCCGCGATTTATAGCTCCACCATTACACAGGGCTGGCTGGCTGCTGATTGGCTAATGCGATCACATGTCATGATTCATGACTCATGAATGCATTATGGGTCAGCGCGCCTTGTCTGCGCGCCTTCCCAGAGATCCCCGCCCCATCTTCTCTGTCCATTTTCTCCTGTCGCCACACATGTCGCCGCCATTTTTGGGAAAATTCGATTCTTGCATCCGAAGTTTGCTAATCTTCGGATTCGTCGCGAATAGAATTTTTCCAAATCTTCGGAACGAATTCCACTTCGTCATGTTCGATTCGCTCATCTCTAATCCTGAGCATACCACCTCATCAGTGAAGCATGGTGGTGGTAGTCTCATGCCGTGGGCATGTATGACTGCCAAAGGAACTGGTTCTCTTGTATTTATTGATGATGTGACTGCTGACAAAAGCAGATGAATTCTGAAGGGTTTTGGGCAATATTATCTGCTCATATTCAGCCAAATACTTCACAACCCATTGGACGCCGCTTCACAGTGCAGATGGACAATGACCCAAAGCATATTGCAAAAGCAACCAAAGAGTATTTTAAGGGAAAGAAGTGGAATGTTATGCAATGGCCAAGTCAATCACCTGACCTGAATCTGATTGAGCATGCATTTCACTTGCTGAAGACAAAACTGAAGGGAAAATGCCCCAAGAACAAGCAGGAACTGAAGGCAGTTGCAGTAGAGGCTGGCAGAGCATCACCAGGGATGAAACCCAGCGTCTGGTGATGTCTATGCGTTCCAGACTTCAGGCTGTAATTGACGGCAAAGGATTTGCAACCAAGTATTAAAAAGTGAAAGTTTGATTTATGATTATTATTCTGTCCCATTACTTTTGGTCCCTTAAGAAGTGGGAGGCACATATGCAAACTGTTGTAATTCCTACAGCGTTCACCTGATTTGGATGTAAATACCCTCAAATTAAAGCTGAGAGTCTGCAGTTAAAGCAAATCTTGTTTGTTTCATTTCAAATCCATTGTGGTGGTGTATAGAGCCAAAAATGTTAGAATTGTGTTGATGTCCCAATATTTATGGACCTGACTGTAGGTAAGCCAATCACAGCCATCCTCACACTGTACAGAGCCTTAACCAATCCTAGCCAGTTTCACATTTGTGCCTGTGTAAAACCCCCTGCTAGATCTTTCTAGAGCCACTTGCTCACCAAACAGAAGAGGAAACAGACAGAGTTCCAGTCAGAGATAAGTTTTATGGAAGCAGAGAAGGCCAAATAGGTATTTAATGCACTTACAGTGTGGCAAAAAAGTACTTAGTCAGCCACCAATTGTGCAAGTTCTCCCACTTAAAAAGATGAGAGAGGCCTGTAATTGGCATCATAGGTAGACCTCAACTATGAGAGACAAAATGAGAAAAAAAAAATCCAGACAATCACATTGGCTGATTTGGAAAGAATTTATTTGCAAATTATGGTGGAAAATAAGTATTTGGTCACCTACAAACAAGCAAGATTTCTGGCTCTCACAGACCTGTACCTTCTTCTTTAAGAGGCTCCTCTGTCCTGCACTCATTACCTGTATCAATGGCACCTGTTTGAACTTGTTATCAGTATAAAAGACACCTGTCCACAACCTCAAACAGTCACACTCCAAACTCCACTATGGTGAAGACCAAAGAGCTGTCGAAGGACACCAGAAACAAAATTGTAGAGCTGCACTAGGCTGGGAAGACTGAATCTGCAATAGGCAAGCAGCTTGGTGTGAACAAATCAACTGTGGGAGCAATAATTAGAAAATGGAAGACATACAAGATCACTGATAATCTCCCTCGATCTGGGGCTCCACGCAAGATCTCACCCCGTGGGGTCAAAATGATCACAAGAACGGTGAGCAAAAATCCCAGGACCACACGGGGGGACCTAGGGAATGACCTGCAGAGAGCTGGGACCAACGTAACAAAGGCTACCGTCACTAACGCCAGGGACTCAGATCCTGAATTGTTTCAGCAGACAGTGTGAGGCCGGAATCAGCATTGCTAGTGAATGGATAATTTTCATATAATAATCTGTTTATCTCTGCTGATAAGAGCTTCTGTATTCATAGGAAATAATGGGGAGATCACCTGACACTGGATAGTGGATGGTCATGAAAGGTTCCCCCGTGTATGACCTCCTATAATCTCATACATTTTAAAACATGGAATATCAGTATATAACAGGGTTTTAGGAAAAAATATTTAATGACTGATAACAGTGTGATAAGATCCAACAATTAGTCAACAGTCTATTTTTTTATGTGGTTTGGATATAAAACTGTCCCAGAATATTAATGTCTCAGTCAGTCCTATTATACTCACTGTAATTCCTCTATCCGGCTTGTTGTCAGAGCTGCCAACAGATCACTGAAATGAGGACCTTCCAGATTGTTCCCAGACAGGTACAGTATCCTCAGTGTCTGGTTATTTCTTATTCCAGATGCCAGGTGGGGGCAGGAACTGTCTGTCAGGTGATTACCAGCCAAACTGTAGAAGAAGAGAAGAATGTTACCAGCAGAAAATGAATGTAACCATTCTCTACATGAATGGAACTCATTTCTCTTCATTTGTAGTATATTAGATCACTTTACGTATAAAACTCCAGTAAATGGAGTTTTGAAAGAAAAATGTTACACCCCAATATTGTGTTCATGTGTAGAGACGGTGATATTCCTTCCCCACTACAGAATACACTACACAGCTGCTGATAGTTTAAACATTTTCAAACGTTTCCTTCCAATGGAGGTGAAGCAAACAATCGACTATTGATTATTGTCGAGTGAGGGAGCCCACACATTGATCCCTGATGGACTGGATGAATTCTGATGAATTTATGGCCAGCTTAAGTTGCTATTAGCAAAAAATGGCCTGGTCATGAAGGGGGTTAACTTTTCGTGAGATCAAGTGGCTATTTAGCACTGTACTACATTAACTGGTATTTGTTCAGTCATGCAATTTTTTACCCAAACAAAATGTATATAATTTTTTTCACAAAAATAGAGTTTTCGGTGGTATCTGAACACCACTGTGTTTTTGTTTTAATTTTGTTGTTATTTAAACAAAAAAGAAAACTTTTTTTTCCCTTTCTGCTGCAAAACAGATCAAGTAAAATGTATTCTGCTACATGTATTTGTTAAAAAAAATCCCAATATATACAAATTATTTTTCTTTATAGTATACTACTAATGGAGGTGATCAGTGACTTAAAATGCGACTGCGATAGTGCGGTGAGCAATATGACACTAACTGACTGTGGCTGGAAATGACTAAATGCCAACGACATCACTAGTAACATTAATACAGTGATCAGTGATAATACTATGCACTGTCACTGTACTAATGACACTGGTTGGGTAGGGGTTAACATCTAGGGCAATCAAGGGGTTAAATGTATGCTTAACTATGTGTAATGTGTATAAAGTGTTCTGATTTTACAAAGCAATCTCTAAGTCTCTCATTCCTGTTTTGCAGGAATGATAAACAGAGATCATTCCCCCTTTACAGAGTACTGTGTTGATTGTCAACACAGAACTCTGGGCTGTGATTGTACAGCGCTGATCAGCAGGTCCTGGCCATGAATTTTTGGATGGGACTTGCTGACAGTCTCCTAGTGTATAGAATCACAGCAGATGCCGAGGGGGGGGGAGGGGGCGCACATGCACGCACCCTAACCCAGAGACAGGCAGGGATGTATAGGTACATGTATAGGCCGCTCATTGTGGCGGGAAGTGCGTAAATGTAGCAACCTCCTAGTTAGGTGCCATGATGTGTATAGTTAGATTAAGCATAGCTGCGTTTCTCTACTTACCAGAGAGGCTGTCAGGTAAATTCAGTGTGGTATTCTATTCAAAAGAGTGCTGTGATGGATTAGTCAGGTCTGCTCATGTTGCTCTGGTACTGTTGGAGTTTGCCTTGTGTTCTGCCCGCCTTCAGGAAGCTATGAGAGCCTTCTAGCACATGGGAAAATGAATATGAATACAGCCCTGCCCAATTGTAGAGGAAGGTAGTCCCATTGCATGCTGGGAGTGGTATTTATATTCTGAGAGCACATGGGTTCTGTGTCTTTCCTGGGAGTGGATTGCACCAAGCTAAGCTGGAATCAGGCTGGCTCACCTGGCACTTGCTGCTATGTGGCATTAGGTGGGTCAACCTGAGGGCCTGAATTTAGAGAAAATGACCCTGGTTCTACAGTAAGCTGACTAAGGGAAGCTGTCTGCCAAAGCTCTGTCTGGTATCACTGGAGGGTTTCCTTTGGAAGATTGGAAGGAGGCAACCATACTGTTCAGTTTCAGCTAAGACTTCAAAGGTGCTCAATTAAGAGATCAGCTAGATGTCCTCAGTGTGAATAGTTCTAATTTTGGAGTATCCTACTACAATTTTCCATCCCTATCCCCTACAATAAATCTCCAAAAACAAACATCCCTGAGACTGGTCATTGAAGACAACAGGCTGAAGTGTGTGTATTTGGCTGAAGGAATACACTGTGTTGGGGCGCATACGTGACCTTGGCTGATGGCAGACACTCAGTAACAGAGCTCTGCTCATCCCCGGCCTTCCCAGCTCTCCCGCTCAGCTCCATCAGCTGCTACGACCACCGGGTGAGCCACACAAGCTTGCTCTGCTCCCGGTCTGGCGACAAAGGATGGGGAAGGTTTGGGCGCTGGAACCCCCCCTGCCCCCGCTGACAGACCCACGGCCCTCACCGCTCCACTGCTTCCTTACTAGGCTGCAACCCCCAACCTCAAGTACCACCGCCAGCCCGCAGAAGAGCTCTGGACCTCCGGCGATGGCAGGGGGAACTGCCGATCACCCGCCCATGGAGCTCCTCCCAATCCCAGCACATGGCAGCCCTCAGCTGGAGGATCTTGGGCACCTGGCAATGACAGGGGGGGACAGCAGACCACCCTTTTCCAGGCACGCTTTAGCACCATCCTCTGCCCCTGCCTTATCTTCTCTCACAGTATCCTCATCAGATGACAAACTGCAAATATTTTTATGCAACAGCACTGCTACCATGTCTGCTGAAGTTGGGAAGCTGACCTTGGATCTTAGGGGGGAAATAGCCCAGATTTGGGACCGCACAGATCGATTGGAGAATAAGTTTGATAAATTGGTACTATACATTTATGATTTGGAAGGAAGACAATGCATACCTTAAGCATTCCATGTTCCAAATGCAACTCCAACAAGAAGATTTGGAAAACAGGGAACGCCACCAGAACATTTGTATTCGCGGTATGTCCGAATCAATTGCTGATTCCCAACTCCACCGCCACTTATTGTCCTTTTTTACCGCAACTGCTCTCATGGTTCCGGAATCAGATTGGTGGTTGGACAGGGCTTACCGCTTTCTGGGCCCAAAACCCACTAAAGGCACCAGACCCCGTGACTTGATTGTCCGCTTCCATTTTTTTTAAAGCAAAGAAGCCCTGCTATCCTCAATCCACAACAAATCCTCCCTGGAATTTAAAGGGGACAGTCTCCAGCTTTTCAGTGATCTTTCTCTGATTACTCTGGCCAAATGGCGGGCGCTGAAACCGATCACCACACATCTTCAGCAACACCATGTCCTTTATCATTAGGGATTTCCCTTCAAGCTAGTTGTATCTAAGGACAATGCCCAAGTTACCCTGCGTGACCTCCATGAGGCGAACTCCTTCCTCAGGGAGCTGGGACTCCCCCCTCTACTGGAAGACACATCTTCACTGCCGCCTACCCCATCCTATCCCTCCATCACCCCAAACAAGATCGGGACACAAGTTTGTGGTGGCCAGAAGCGACTCTCTCGCACTCCACAACGCCCAAGACCTCCTTGATAGAGTGATGTGCCTACCTGATGACCCTCCTGGGTGACCTCTTGAGGCAAGCCCAGAGCCTCCCCCTTCCCCCGTTACTGCTTCACTTTTGTTCATCTGGCTGTGCCCTAGTTGGGTGCACCTATTTTGTTTTTTCTTGCCGGGATTTATGATTGCCAAGATGTGTCAGTTGCCATGTTACCCCCGAACCCGTCTAGCCATAGGCCTAGATGACTTGGGTCTGTTCATTTATGCCAAGTTTATATCACCACAGATATCTTTGTTTCTTGCTGTAGCCCTTACGGTTTATATTTTATGTGTTATATCCATGTACTGGATCTTTGTTTTTTTTTGTTCTTAGTTTTGCTTCATCGATGATACTTTATTTACTTTTCATGCTTGTACAAATGCTATTTACATTATTGCCTAACTATGACTTTACTGTTATTATCATATAATGTCAAAAGTCTTAACTCCATCCAAAAATGGTGGATGGCTTTGATGGGATTTCGATCCTCAGGAGCCGACATCATTTTCGGTCAGAAGACCCATTTTAAATCGACTGGCTCCTTTCGCTTTGCCTCAAGATTTTTTTCACAATCCTACTCCGCTTTCGACCCAAATGGGAAGGCTGGAATGGCGATTTTGATCCGGACGCACTGCTCCCTGCAGGTCATTTCCTCCAAAGTCGATCCACAAGGTTGTTTCATTATTTTGTATGTTTGGTGACTCCCCCCTTGTCTTGTTGAATTTGTATGCCCCGAACGTGGGTCAACTGCAGTTTCTTTCCTAAACACTTGCCAAACTGAGTTCCTCTTCTGCACCACATGTGATCATTGGAGGTGGCTTTAATCTAATCATGTCCCCCCATAAAGACAGGAAGGCCCTTTTCGAATCCACTCCCTCAATGTGGCAATGTTCCTCTTCGAAATCTTTTTGCAAACTAACAAGGCAGCATCATCTCTTTGTGAAGAGGGTGTCTGATCCACCAGGCTTCAAACCGTTTACTTTCTCCATCCCTCTTCGCAGCTTTTCCCGCTTGGACCATTTCTTAATTTCCCCATTGCTTCCTCTTTGGTTTAATCTGAAATCAATTCTATTACGTGGTCCGACCACACTTCCCTGACCCTGAAACTCCTTTTTCCTAACTCCATGTCGAAAGCTTGCCACTAGCGCCTCAATGAGACTTTTTTTTACTACAGCCCATCTCCGAGAGGAGCTTTCCCAAGGATTAGAATTGTATGTTTGCCACAATGTTTACTCAGTAACCTCTTCCTCGACCCTGTGGGAAGCCCATAATGTCGTATTTCGGGGACTCTGTATCTCTATGGGTTCTCACTTGAAAAAATTCTCGGCGAGTGCCAAGGCATCCATCATCCACCAATTATCTTCTGCTGAATGTCAATCACTTGGAAAACTATCTATTACTGGGCTCTATAAGCTAACTTCTCTCTGTGACCAAATCAAAGCCCTCGATTCATGTAAATCTGCACAATCCCTCATTTGGGTCAAACAGAAATTCTACGAATTTTCTAATAAACCACACTGCATCCTCTATCATTTTCTGGGAATGTAGGTCCATCACTCCTTTTTGAGAAGAGGTTTTGTCTTTACTATAATTGCTATTGCATACCTCCCTCCCTTTCGAGCCCCTTTATATTCTATTGTGCCTGCCTTTCCCAGGCCTCTCCAAACCATCAAGGAAACTCTCCGCTCATGTCCTGACTGCAGCCAGGAGAAGCATTCCTATGTGTTGGCTCTCCTCTATACCTCCTTCAATGCCGACTTTGTTTAAAATTAAAAATGGAATATCTAACCGCTTTACATGCCTGCTTGATTACTGTGTTTTGAGGTGGTATGGGACCCATGGGATGCCTTTATCTCTGCTCAACCTGCCATAAATGTACGATTTGACTGCCCTTCTACTGTTATTCTCTGACATTGTATGTTCTTTATTCTTACAAATTTCTGTAATTGATGAGCCTCTTTCTCTCTTCTCTTTCTTCAAATTTAATGTATGCAAATACATGTGAAAAAAAAAAAAAAATAAAAATTGCTAATTACAAAAGGAATACACTGTGTCTGGCTGCTGGGTGAAGCAAGGGGAAATCGGGACATCATACAAGCGGCTCCTTTGGGGGTAGCGCTACATAAATATCCATTAATTCTTGCTGGCAACAATAACGTTTTCTATGCATATTCTTATATAATAAAGTATTTATAGACTGGTGTTTGCAATTAGTATAGGTGGTTTTAACTATATTAGAAAGATACTGTAGGTGTCTGTAGCAAACATTGATTATTCCCTTACTGTTTAGGGGAACCACTGCAAGGACAAGCATACAGGGGTAGTGGTGAGGCTCTCTCCATTTAGTGTTTTTGTTTTATCATGTGTTTTAATTCGTGTTTTTACTGCAATTAAAGATATAAACAATTTTCTTATTACAAGCCGCAGTTTGACCTCTTTTGGACCCGCTTGACTTGTGCCTCTGTCAGTGTTTTCTTTTTTTTTTTCCCTCAGCTATATTTGGGTCCTGAGGACACCACATGGCCAATTCCATGTGAGTTGGCATATCCTTTATGTATATGGGGGCCACTATTTAGTTAACTTCTGACCCCCCTCTTTCTTAGGTATTCTCATTATAGTCCTTAGCTGGCAGTGTCCCGGTTACCCCCCCTTTTCTACTTGTGTGTGTCCCAGAATACTGCAGGGGGGGGGGTGGGGGGGAGGGGCTGAAAGAACACTGTGGCAATCTTAACCAGAAGTGGGAGCGGGTACCTGTCAAAACCAGGTACCCGCTCCCCCAAAAAATGCCAAATGTGACAGTGGAAGGGGGGAGAATGCAAACAAGTGGAACTTTCCCTTGTGGGTGAAGTTCCATTTTAAAGAGACATTCTATTGTAGTACTACATGTGGTTGCCATGAGCAATGGAAGATTGTAGCCACTTAAAGCAGCCTTTCGGTAGCGTGTACCTGTTACAGGTGGTTTTTTGGAGGGGAAGATGTTTTCACTTCTTCTTATGTAGCGGACTGTCTCCCATGGCAATGGGAGCAGAATGTCACCACTGAGGTCCCCATCCTGTACTGAGGTATGGAAATTCAAGAGTTAAGTGAGTGCATGCATGGAGCCTGCACTAGGTGCATAGTGGGGCCCCATTCCACTACCAGGGACAGGTGGATGTGGACATTAGCTCAGCATGTCCCTCCTAAATGCAAGCTACAGTGAGAGGTGTACATTTACACGGAGATTAGAGAGTTAACATGAGAACAGTTATAGTGCAAGTGTACATAGTGTACATCCATCTCTGAGACTGGAGGTCCACCTTAAGGTCAAGTATTCCCCCACTGCAGCCTCAGCCTTGTCTCAGGGCATTGATGGACACGGCAGAGTAAAGGTACAAGCAATTGTGTTAATGTTTAATACATCAAGAGAGTTTCTTGTTTGTCATCTTCTGGGTCGTGAGCGTGACTCAAGTAAAGGTACCCCATATGTGAGGAGAGTGAGCCTGTTACAGAGCCTTAGTGTAGCCCAGAAGAACCCACCCTGGGGGTAGTCTTATATGACCCAGACTTGGCACCCAAAGAGTTAATTGTGAACATGGAGGAAGGTCTGCTATCAACTCCTTACAACTTGCTCACACATGCAATGAATGAGGTTGCAGGTGGTGGTGTGGTCATTTGGGGGGTAAAACAAGCAATCAGGTGGCAACATTTTGCCTGCCCAAGGGTTGTCAAATGCCCTTTGAAAACTGATCCACAACAGATTGCACTTTATAGGACAATACAAATGCAAACATGTACTTTCAGTGTGGTTCCTACATTGTTTTGATCATCTGTCTCTTGATGTGCACTGTAGGATCTATCCACTGTCTCTATATACAGGATTCTGGAGATAGCAGATAGATCATACAGCACACTGGATAAATAGTATTTTCCCTAAAACTGTGCTATAGTCCAATATTCTTTTTAATAGCTAATAATAGTTTGTTTAATTCTTGGTTCTTACCAAGACTGGACTTTTTGAAAAAAAGGTTATCTGTTTAGAATACATTTGTAATGCTCTGCTGCAATGTCAGTTGCAGGATGTTGAAACAGACACAAGATGGCAGTGTCCTGCAACTCAGTGACACCCACTTTGCTAAAGGCTTTATGGATCTTATAGGCTCAACTGCAGGACTTTGTTGGAAGGCTGCTAATTGGGGGAAGGCTGCTAATTGGGGGACTACATTTTTCTCTGAAGAGCTGGTGTGCTGGCAAAGGCATATAAATGTGGAAGCCCAGGAACAGGAAATGAGAGGGGAGAGAGCTGGAGAGAGGAAGCAGAGTGAGAGAGAGAGTTGAACTGACTGCCTTAGAACCGGACCAGAGAGAAGAGGAAAAGAGGAGTCACTGACTGCCAGCCTTATAGTTTGCCAGCAGGTGACCTGAAGCACAGTGACCGGACAGGACTCTGTAAACGAGACCAGAAAACCTTTGGGGCCCCCATCCACAAGACAGAGAGAGAGAGAGAGACAGCCAGGACTTGCTGGAAGCCACCAATCGGGTGAGAGAGTCCCATAAACCAGTAAAACAAGAGAACACTGACATTCTCCTCATATCTGCTACTTTTTTCTGCACACAGTTGCAGACATTGCATTCAGTTAACACCTAGTTCCCTCAACCACTACTGTTGAATACATTTGCAGTACCATCCAACCATCAGAGCTGACCACATTACACGTCTTCTGTACACCGAATCACAGTGCTCCCTTAGCCATTGGCATACCCTCTTAAAAGAACTTCTACCACCGTTGCCATTGGTTGCTGCAGCCCAGAGTGAAGTTGCCTTTTGCCAACAAACCCTACTGTCAGTTTTGACACTTTATTTGCCTAAATCGGCCCTTTTTTCTCAGTGCATAAAAAGGGGCAACACCCAAGTCAAATGCCACTTAAAGGGAAAGTACTTGTACTTTTTTTTCTTCCTCTTCTTGTTTTAATTCTTTAAGGAGCTGTCACTGCCATCACTTTCTACTTATGTGCCAACTGGGCCCCAACGAGTGCACAGAAGAATCCTCAGTGCGTTTAAAGGGACACTGACTACCCTGGTTAAAAAGCTCTTTCTATATCAGATTTAAACCTTGCCATTGGATTCTGAGGGCCCAAAGTAAGCTAGTTCAACTGTTGTAGTTTTTATTGCTCACTGGGGATTGACAGCACCTCAGGTTTGGGGTATTAGGGTAACTTCTGAAAAGCAGGTCTGCTAACACTGAGTGAGATTCTGATGTATGTCTTATTTCTTTTCTTAGAGTTGCTAAGAGTAATAATTGCCATTACATGTACTAATACCATTTTGTACTGTTTAACCAAGCTTACATTGACGTTTAACCACCTCCCGTCCAGCCGTTGTATATAAACGGCCGAACAGTGGCAGTGCAGGGTCGGGTGGCCTTTTATAAACAGCCTCCCCGCCCCCTGCTTGTGACCGCTCCCTGGGAGCGTGCAGCACCGCGATCCGGTGCCCGCTGTGTCCTCCGGACACAGTGGAACACCGATCGTCGGATGGGACCTCTTTGTGAGGTCCTGATCATGTGATCACTGATTGGCCAATCAGTGATCACGTGCAGAGTAGTAAGCAATATGTCACTTCTGACATCATTGCTTACTACGTGTGAAATCTGTAAATGATCACAGAGGTCACATGGTACAAGGCTATTCAGAACAGCCTTGTACCATGTGACAAGCTGTGACCAATCACAGCTCACACAGTAGTTCTCAATGGCTGCAAGAATGCAGCCAGAGAGAAGGAGAAATTATTGCTTTTACAGCCTTTATGGGTGTAAAAGCAATCAGTGTGTAAAAAAAAATCTTCATCACCCCACCCCCCCCACAAGTAGTATAGTGACACTGTACTGCTAGGGTGACAGTATGTAAAAAAAAAACCATAAATATAAAAAATAAAAATGTAAAAAAGAAGTTTAAAAATTATAATGTTTGGCTATAAACTAATTTAGGTTATTTTTTTTTTTACTAAAAAGATAACAGAATAAATTTTGCCCAAGAATTATGATGAAATATTATTTATTTGCAAAATTTTATGAGAAAAACACTTTTTTTAAAATTTTTGGACTTTTTCATTTACATAGCAAAAAAAAATAAAAATCCCAGTGGTGAATAAATACCACAAAATAAAGCTTTATCTGTCTCAAAAAAATGCTAAAAAATTCATATGGGTACAGTGCTGCATGACCGCGCAATTGTCATTCAAAGTGTGATAGCACTGAAAGCTGAAAATTGGCCTGGACAGGAAGGGGGTGAAAGTGTCTGGACATGAAATGGTTAATATAAACCTCATATCAGTTTACTAAAATCTGCGTGTGAGTCTATTTTCTAGTGGTCATTTACTCTGGTCAAAAGAATCATGGCAGGGAGCCTGAAAATAACTCCTCCTAATAACTCCTATGCTACTCCTAAGGGGTGCTACACATTACTGTACATTTTTATATAACTCATTAAGTGTGAACATAAAACTGTCTCAGAATATTATTGTCTCAGTAAGTCCTGTTATACTCACTGTAATTCCTCTATCCGGCTTGTTGTCAGAGATGCCATCAGATCCCTGAAATGAGGACCCTCCAGATTGTTCTCAGACAGGTCCAGTGTCTTCAGTGTCTGGTTATTTCTTATTCCAGATGCCAGGAGGAGGCAGGAACTGTCTGTCAGATTTATATTCAACAATCTGTAGAAGAAGAGAAGAATGTTACCTGAAGAAAATTAATTTCTCCCCCAGGAATGACTAACTATTCTCTACATGAATGGAACTCATTTCTCTTTATTTTAATTGTTTACTGTATATTAGATCACTTCATAAAACCCCAGGAAATAGAATTGTATAAGAAAAATGTTATAATGGAGTAGACACCCCAATATTGTCATCCATGTGTAGAGATGGTGATATTTCTATACACAGGATGACCACAGAATGCCACTGACATGACTCGTATTGTGCTGTAATCTTCTTGTGTATGGAGTATGAATTGTATAAGTAGACAGTGTGAGGCCAGAATCAGCATTGCTAGTGATTGGCCAGGATGATTTTTATCTGATGTAGTGCCCTCCTAGATAGCTAGGGGGAGCTAGACTCCAATGGTTAGACAGAGGCTGAATATCAGCCAGGGTGTAATAGCTAGAGAGGGGTCAAATTGTGGCAGGCACCTACACCCCCTGGGCAGATAGAGGAAGGAGCACTCTGGTGGAAAATCAGATTAGTTACCTGCCAGTGACTGTTCATCTCTTACAGTGACATGGACCGGACCCCCTGTTCAGAGATACCTCCAGATTGTTGGGTGAAGAGGAGAAGTTCATCTAAGGTCTGGTACACTAAGGAGACACTAGCTAGCTCTCCAACTGAGACTGTGTTGCGGAGAAAACTTGTAAATAGTTCCAGAGTTTATCAGTACCCTTGGGCATCCCGTACGCCCCTAACCATATCCCGGTTCTAATCCCCTAAATAAAACAATAATAACCAAAGCTCAAGGACTTATTTCCGACTCTAGATGCAAGCTTTTGTGAAGATGTGTGATGTCGGCTGTGCAGGACTATAGAGGAACCCAAATCTTCTAGTAACTCCTAAGGGGGTAGTGCTACAGTGATATTCTATTTATCTCTGCTGATAAGAGCTCTGTACTCATAGGAAACAATTGGGAGATATGTGATGCTGAATACAGGATGTGTAGTAAAGGGGGAGACCCCTAATACTGATTGTGTACAGGGGCGGACTGACCATTTGGAAACTCAGGCACTGCCCGAGGGCCTGGGGTCAGTAGGGGGGCCCCATGAGATGCCCCTGGTACCTTTTTCATAGGCTTTTTTGAGTTTGGGCAAGGACACAGGTGTCCCATGATCCCCTATTGAGGGCCCTGGGTCAGTAGGGGGCCCCATGAGATGCCACTGGTACCTTTTTCATAGGCCTTTTTGTTTGGGCAAGGACACAGGGGCCCCATGATCCCCTATTGCCCGGGGGCCCCATGAGTTGTCAGTCCGCCCCTGATTGTGTACTAAAATGGTGTGTAGTAAAATGGAGATCCACTGACAGCCATGTTAGGTGACAGGAAGCCAGGGTTGCCAACCTCTGGAACTGAACTTTACTGACACAACACACAAAATTTACTGACAGAGCCAAATGTTTTACTGAAACTTAAAAAAACTTTAAAAAAAAATAGCCGATGATCATTTTCAGTGCAAATATCAATATTTAAGCTACAACCACGTAACTAGTGCTTTTAGCATTGTGTTTACCACTTCATGATCAGGCTATAGCCAAATGACGGCTACAGTGCGATTGTCTAGTTCTAGGAGACATCCTCCCACGCACCTCCGTTGAGCTTTGTGATTGCTGTGTTCTTTTTGACACAGCTGATTACATGACATGGTAAAGGACCAGCTGTTGTAGAGCTACAAGTCCCATGAGGCATTGCAAAACTGACAGTTACAATCATGACTCCCAAAGGCAGAGGCATGATGGGACTTGTAGTTCACCAACAGCTGGAGGGCCACAGTTTCCCACCCTTGCTCTCGTGCACAGTGAGCAGAAGTCGCCAACTGTGTGCAGAGTCATTAACTAAAGACCTCCAAACTTAATTTGGCCTTCAGATTAGCGCAACAGTGCATAGAGAGCTTCATGGAATGGGTTTCCATTGCCGAGCAGCTGCATCCAAGCTTTAGATCAGATCAGAAAGCATCGGATGCAGTGGTGTAAGGCACGCCACCACTGAACTGTAGATCAGTTGAGACTTGTTCTCTGGAGTGACAAATCACGCTTTTCTGTCTGGCAATCCCATGGATGGGTCTGGGTTTGGTGGTTTCCAGGAGAATGGTACTTGCCTGACTTCATTGTGCCAAGTGTATGGTTTGGTGGAGGGGGGATTATGGTGTGGGGTTGTTTTTCAGGGGTTGGGCTTGATCCCCTAGTTCCAGTGAAGGGAGCTCTTAGGCATCAGCAAACCAAGACATTTTGGACAATTTCATACTCCCAACTTTGGGAACAGTTTGGGGATGTCCCGTTCCTGTTCCAACATGACTGCACACCAGTGCACAAAGCAAGATCCATAAATATATGGATTAGTGAGTTTGGGGTGGAGGAACTTGACTGGCCTGCACAGAGTCCTGACCTCAACCTGATAGAATACCGCTGGGATTAATTAGAGCGGAGAGTGCGAGCCAGGCCTTCTCGTCCGACATCAGTGCCTGACCTCACAAATGCGCTTCTGGAAAAATGGTCCAACCTTCCCATTGACACCTTCCTAAACCTTGTGGACAGCCTTCCCAGAAGAGTTAAAGCTGTTATAGCTGCAAAGGGCGGGCAACTCAATTTTGAACCCTATGGACTAAGACTGGGATGCCATTAAAGTTCATGTGCGTGTAAAGGCAGGCTGACCACTACATTTGGCAATATAGTGTAAGTTATGCACTATATTATGGCCAGTTGGAACAGGTATATGGACATTTTTTTCGTACCAAAGGATGGATCTTCTGATGGCTAAATAAAGCTGAAACATTCATTATAATCTACACCTCCCATGAGCTGATTGTAGTCATCTATGCAGTCAGGTTTTTGGATTGGATCTTGCCTTTTTTTGGATTGTCATGGAAGTGTCTTAATAGACAGAGAAAGGACAATACACATCCTGTTTATCCCTACATTTAAGTGCCAAAATTTCTATATTCCACTTACTGACTGACTGACTCCTAATGTTCAGCTTTGTGGTGTGCAATATTTTTGGGAAGCCTTGGTGGTCTGGCTGCACTATACTAAAGGCTGAAGTTTGCTGGAGATAAAGGTGGAGGAAAAGGGCCAGGCTGGTGTAAAAAGAATTATCCATGTAGAAGTGGTGCCCCTGGTAGAATAGGGGTGATATAAGATCCCACACAATTTTTACACTGCTCCCTATAAAGATTGAGTATCCAGGGGGCTCTTGCTGGTTGTCTTTTTATCTTCATAAGCCGAAAAGTCATATGTATCTGGACCGTTAACTGGGGATATTCTGTTTAATGCCCAGGCAGGGGCGTATTTGCCGCAAGAAAAAAATAGGCATTTGCCTAGGGCGGCACTTTTCAGGGGGGCAGCACCGAGGCAGTGCCGCCCTCCCCTTTCCCACGGAAGGGACACTTCCATGGGAAAGGGACAGGGGCAGGACCGCCATGACTGAGGGACCGGTGTGGCGACTGGGACACTAACAGATGTTGGTGGAGCACTGGGGACACTCAGTGATGTTGCTGCTGCACTAGTTTGTTACACTGGTGTGGCTGCAGTCGGGCTCTGTAGATAGCTGCAGCGTGTCTTTTTACACAGAAATCACACAGATCACTGTAAACTCACAAATTTCTGACAATATTGGTACAGATCAGCTTTTCATTCTCCTCCTACATGCTCTCTGTGTAAGAAGAAAGAGAGCCAATACAACAATGTGGCTTTTGCTTACATTTTGTGATTACGGGGAATGGACACAGTGATCACAGTATACAGGGCACAGCATTCCTGTACTCCAACCAGTGATGCACTGTGTCCAAGGGACATTAACCGTCACAGATCACACCCCAATGCTGCACATGAGCACCAAAAGTAGGAGAATGTACAGATACATCCTTCCAGAACAATACTGTTTTTTGCCTGACCACTGCGCATAGACGGCAGGAGCAGAGTTGTTCTGGGAGGATGTACCTGTGGTTAAAGGAGATTTTGTATATTATACGAGATGCGTTCAAGTCAAACTGGGACTTTTACTTTTACAGGTATAAAAAGGGATGCTAGCATTGTGGTACTACACGTAAGTGGCAAGTGTAAGTAAGTAAGTAAGCAAGTGTACGTAAGCAAGCAAGTAAGTGGCAAGTGTGTTCTATTGCTGATAGGTGGCACATATGTCGCAGGTCAGTCCAGAGACTGTAAATCAAGATGGCAGACAACAGTGTTAGTGCGTGCATGGAACAGCATGTGGTGATGATATTTCTTGTGATCAAAGGCATAACATTTCTACAGAAGACTTCAAGCACAGTGTTGAGATACTCAGCCGCAGTAAGACATTTGAATGCTGTAAACATTTCAAAGATAGCAGTACATCCATCAGTGACAATACCGACCATGGTGGTTCCCAGCCCCCAGCAGTAACAGTTGCAATTTGAAAAGTTAGCGCACACTAGATACCAAGACAACTTTCCACTTTGATCGGCACAGAAGAGTTGATGTCGGCACTGCATTGAAGGAGCATTTTGACAGGCATTCCAGGCATTAGTTAAATGCTGAGATAAGTGTATAAATGTAGAAGGGGAGTATGTTGAAAAATAAATGCAGTTTCCAATCCTTGAAATTTGTTCTTTTATTTTATAAACTCAAGAGTCCTGGTTTGAATTGAGTGCCCCTCATATTATTAATTCATTTTATATGGTTAAATGTCAAACTGTCCCAGAACAATATTGTCTCAGTCAGTCTTGTTATACTCACTGTAATTCCTCTATCCGGCTTGTTGTCAGAGCTGCCATCAGATCACTGAAATGAGGACCCTCCAGATTGTTCCCAGACAGGTCCAGTCTCCTCAGTGTCTGGTTATTTTTTATTCCAGATGCCAGGTGGGGGCAGGAATTGTCTGTCAGGTTATTACCACCCAAACTGTAGAAGAAGAAAAGAATGTTACTAGAAAAAAATGAATGTAACTATTCAAATGGGGTTCCTACTTTAGTGTCCCTTTTTTAGTTAGCCAAAAGGAGCTAGGCTAGGTTTTCAGTTAGAGGCTGGATACCAGCCTGGATGACTCAGCCTGGGTATGAGTCAGCCAGGTAACTTTAGGTCAGGGCTGAGGGCTCTGCAGGTCAGTTCCCTGATACCTCCCCCTAAAGACTTGAGAAGTTTCTAGAAGGCAGTGGGTGGGGGTGAGGGTCTACATATTTAAGTGATCTTGACCAATCCCCAAGTAGGAGGCTTGGCATGAGGTCCAGAAAGCCTAACCAGGAAGCAGTCAGTCCCGGGGGAAGATGGAGTGAGAAGGCAAGTGCCTGGGAGTGGGCCCATGAGGGGCTCACCTACAGGCATAGTTGCTTGACAGGAGGATCTCTTAGCCTCACCAGACCCTGAGAGAGGACAACCTGGGAATCAGGGAAGAAGCCAGCCCAGCATAAGGCCTGAAGGCAGCCACCAACCCACAAGCTTACAGGAGAGGAAGGAGTGAGTAATCCTAGGGCCAGATAAGGGGAGAGGGCATTCTGGTGGGAAACCTGACTTGCTCATCACCCAGGACTGTTAAGTCTAAAGTGGCCACTTCTGGTTAGCCTTGCCCATGGATTCCCTCAGGCAGCTGGGTGAAGAGGAGATTTCATCTGCGGTCTGAGTACTACAGCTTGAGGACTGGAGAGCTCTCCCAGAAGAGAATTCTTTGTAGTTGTACATAGTTGCTAAGGAGTTTGTCAACAGTTCACAACTCACTTTCTCAGGAAATCTCCAGATATCTCTAAATTAAAAATTTTGAAAAATTATGTTTACATGATCCTAATACTAAAGGCCTTATAACTATAAATTCTACATGTGTCCACTCTCCTCCCTCACCCCTACCCGCTGGCACCCACCATGTCGGTCTTGGGACTGCAGATGGGGAAGTGGAGTCCAGAATACATGGCGGGGCCACATGCATGCCTGGGGGGGGGGGACTGTTAATGAGGGGTGTGTGGAAGCAATCGGGCAGCAGCACAGCCACCCAAATGCTTCCACTTGACAGGCAGGAGGCTTCCTGTCAGTTTTCCACACAATCCTGATGGCTGCAGCTGATGCTGGATTGTGTGTAAAACCCCCTGCTGTCAGGTCCATACTAAGAGTTAATTGGCAGTACTCTGGTTGCCCTGGCTGATGTCATGCATCATACATGGTCAATTATGACACCCGGGTCCCCCTTAAAATTCATACCAGGCCTTATTTTGTCTGATATGAACACTGCAGAGGTCCCCATGCTTTTGTCCCCTATCCCTGCCCCTTTGTTCACATTTACCTGTCAGCTGAGAATCCTTGGCTTACAGCTAAATGGACCAGAAAAGAATAGATCATAGTTTTTTAGATGCCAGCTTCCCAGAAACCAGTTTGAATAGCTAGCTGTCACACTTGGCAGACATAGTACTACCGCTGCTAAAGCTAAATGAATCACTTCTCAGTGCCGCCAGAGATTTGTCTTGGCTGAACACTAATTTAATTAACCAGCAGCTCATCGCCGCTAGTTAAAATGACTGTAATCCCTCACCTTGTAAAACAACCCAGTTCAGTTTAAAATACAATTGAAAGGCAAAACATTTGTGTATAGATCTAAAAAAACCATTACATACACTTTTATTAGAAGTGATCACATAGCCTCTGTTCTCTGTTGCACAAGAGCTTGGGGAGGAGAAACAGTTCCACTGATCTTCCTAATTAGCACTTTGATCATTGGAGGAGAGCACACTGAGTTCCCAGCACATCTAGAGGACTAACCATGCTGTGCTCTAATGCTTAGTGTGATCAGTTTTTATTAGGAAAGCAGAGGGACTGGCAGAAATGCCAATGATTTTACACAAAGGAAGCATTACAAATAAAACAGGATACTTTTCTTACAAGTACAATGGTACAGCAGGCACATATCAGGAATATAAAATGTTGGATTTTAAGTATTCTTTAACAGGCAGAATACCAGATTTTAACAAGGTATTTGTTATCAGACTTGAAATAGTCTGTTCCTGAGTGTGATAAGATCCAGGATTGGGTATTTATAGATATCAAAAAACAAACACAATCTGACCACATTATGATTATATGCTTTAGTTTGGATATAAAACTGTCCCAGAATATTATTGTCTCAGTCAGTCCTGTTATACTCACAGTAAATCCTCTATCCGGCTTGTTGTCAGAGCTGCCATCAGATCACTGAAATGAGAACCCTCCAGATTATTCTCAGACAGGTTTAGTGTCCTCAGTGTCTGGTTATTTCTTATTCCAGATGCCAAGTGGGGGCAGGAACTCTCTGTCAGGCGATTATTATCCAATCTGTAGACGAAGAGAAGAATGTTATCAGAAGAAAATTAATTTCTCTCCCAGGAATACATGTAACTAATTGCATTGTAGGCAGGTTGCCTACTGAACGTTAGCTACCCAACTCATCTGCCCAAGTCAGAGAGAAGGGGCTAATATTTTGCTGCCTTCTCCAGGTTAGTTTGTGGGCCTTTTGTGTATGATAAAAGGAGAGAGATAAGGGTCCCCGTGGGCCACGTAAAGTATTGAAGAAGAAGGCTTCTGGGACCTGTTGAACGCTCCAGGGACGCTGACTCGTTGGGCACCATAATGATGGACACTACCATGCTGGATCTTCCAATTATGGACTTTACATAGCACTTATAATGAAAAAAAACATAATTTCCCTAACACTGATTGCAGCTGCCCCATTGTACCTGCACAGGTAGAGTCCTTATGGGCAAAGCTCTCAGTAAAGTTATTTTAACTGCTTTGAGCCTGGTCTGAAGTTATTCAAGAGGTGCATGTTGGGTTCTGGTGTATCCCAGAGAACCTAGGTCTCCAAAGTACTATGGAGTATGAGTAACACCTCTACAAAAGGTTTAACTCGGCAGGGTAAAGAGGAAGTAGTTGCCATGGGCAACCGCAAAATGCAAAAGCTACAGCAACTAGTTGTTTGTCGTGGTACTTGGTTAGATGTCAGGTCCTCTGGCAGCAAGGGAGTCATCGGGAGCAGACTAGCATTACAGAGATACAAGGCCTGATCACGAGGTATGGGAAGGAAGGAGTCAAGTGCATGCATGAATTCTATGCTATGTGCATGGAGGGACTTCATTCTGTTGCTGGGAGTGAGGTAACAGAGGGTGCTGGACTAGTGGAATGGGTGCAGGCTCAGCTCTGTTACAATTGTGCAGTGGCATGGGACAAGACATCTCACAGAAGAACTCTGTACATTATTGATGCACACAAGTGGCTCATCTCTGAGTCGGGGGCTGACTTCATGTTTGTTTCTCATACAGTGAGGAACAGAATTATTTGAACACGAGGGGCGGGGCCTGAACATGGCGACGGGGGAGAGCTCAATGTAGGAGCTCGTGGACGGAGCTCTGTTGTCTGGCCTCCCCAAGCCTCCAGGTCTATCCCCTCAGGCATGTTTTGAGTCCTGCGGCGTGGGACTTACCCTGGCCCGACGGTTCCCTGTGGAGGAGAGGTGGATGCTGGCGTGGGGGAGAGAGAGGAGCGGCTGGAGACCGGCAGAGAGAGAGTCCCTGGATGCTGGGAGACGAAGGGGGACGGCGCGATCACGTGACCGGCCGCAAGGCACCACTGGGAGATCGGGAAGCCGGCCGGCGTTTTGCAGTGAGAGAGCTGCGCCGACCTGTTTGCCGGTGGCCGATTCAATCTCCCCCTGTCCCCCTGAAACCCCTCGAGCTAAAAGTAAACGGGAGGAGAACCTTTGAGACCTGGACAAGGAGATCGAGGAGAGCCTGGGGAGTTGCCCCCACCCCCCACGAACGGAATTTTAGGGGAATCGAACGAGAGAGCACTCACAAGAAGAAAATACATGAGGAGGGTGAGTGACCATGACTGTACTCTATCTTGTATTGATATGAAGCCCTGAGTGGACCCCTAAAGAGAAGCAAGGAGTAAGGGAAAGGGGGGCCCCCGGAGACTGTATAAAAGGTGGAAGAGGCCCGAGGAAAGAAAAGCTTAAAAATCAGCAGGGGGTCAGGGAGGAGATTTGAAGGTTAAAGAACTGTTTTCCTCTCCTTACCCACGAATTTACAAAAGAGTATAAGAAGGATATAAGCCACAGAGAAAAATTAAAAATAAAAACGTAAAAGGAAGCGGGCTTAAAGGGTCCCAGACTGGTACAATTAAAAAATATACCTCCCAAGGAAACGTAACCCCAGAAAGACCCCAGAGCAGGACTGAAAAAAGGAGAAGTAGACCTTAGTATGGAAAGTAGTCCTAGAGTATCATTAGGCCTTGATACTAGTAACCAGCAAACATCAGGCAACATAGAGATGGAAAAAGATCTACAAATACCTAACCAAAAAGAAATGGCAGAAATGTTTAAAGAATTGGAGAAAACAATAAAACAATAAATGGTAAATATCCGTAGCGATCTGGGACACCTGTTGGAGAGAGTTGAAGAAACGGAGGAGAAGGTTAAAAGTCAGACCCAGGCTATCTTTGAACTAGAAAAAGAAATAATAAACATAGGGAAAGCCCAAGAAAAACTGCTTTATAAGGTTGAGATACAAGAAAACAAAGACAGGAAGAGAAACATCTTGATACGTGGGGTCCCAGAGAACTCAAAGGGAGAAAGTCTGCAAGAGGTGGTTTGTAAAATATTTAATACTATAACAGACAGCTCTGAAATGGATAGGACTAAAATAGAAGGAACTTTTAGAAAAGGAAAAATTCAAAGAATTCTGGGGAAAGAAAGGCCGAGAGATATACTAGTTAAATTTTATGAGCTTCGGGATAAAGAAAAAATCTGGAAGAAGACCAAAGGAAAATAATAAGTAATTAAATATGAAGGAGGAGACATACAGATATATGCGGATCTGGCCCCAGAGACTGTGGAGAAGGAGATCTTTTAGACCCCTATTGGAAAGGTTGAAAGAACAAAATGTGCCATATAGATGGGGGACTCCCGAATGCTTAATAGGATGGAAAAATGGGACTACAGCATACCTCAGGTTTCCAGAAGACTTGAAAAATTTTTTTGACAGTTTAAAAATTCAAAGAATGGAAATCCCTGGCTGGGAAGAAGAACAATGGGAAAATAGAACGAAGAGAAAAGAGGACTGGCAATTTGTAGGGGGGATGAGGCGGGGGGGAGGGGGAGAGGGATGGAGGAGGAGAAATAGGGGTTTGGTTTTTTTTTGTTTTTTTTTTTTTTTTTTCCTCCTTCCTCCTCCGTCTTTTTCTGCCCTCACCCCACCGTCCTCGTTTTATTGCGCTTGAGATAAATCTGGGTGGGACCTGGGGGGTTATGGGGAGGTCAGACAAGGGGAAGTCGTCCATGGACGGAGTCTTAGCCCAAGGATTAAATCAAAAGTGGATTTTATATTCCATAAATGATTAGTAGGCAAATGATAGGCCTAAAAAGTGGGGGAAGGGGAGGGGGGGAGGGATGGAGTTGGGAGGTTGGAAGGGTGGGAAATGGGAGAGGGGGGTTGTTATCTCTGCAAGATAAAAGAAGATATAAAAGCAAGTGAGAAGGGAGAAGGAGGAGAGGAGAAGAAGGGAGGAGAAGAGGAAATGAGAAAAGGGGAGAGAAAAGGAAAATATAGATGGAGGAGAAAAGAGGAAATTTAAGGAAGATGGAAGAGATTCAGTTTATAACATATAATGTAAATGGGTTGAACTGCCCTGGGAAAAGATATAGATTATTTAAAGAACTACACCATAGGGCAGCCTCAGTGATATTTCTATAGGAGACACATCTTGAGATAAAGTCAAATGTTAGGCTGAGGTCTAGAAATCACCCAACATGGTACTATGCAGACTCCCCTGTTAAAAGAGCAAAAGGGGTAGCAATAGGTTTGGCAAAGAATATTAGGTTTGAGTTGGAAGATAGAAAAACAGACCCAGATGGGAGATTCTTGTTTTTAAAGGGCAAGTTACAAGAGATCGAGTGTACACTGGCCAATATCTACTGTCCTAATAAAAAACCGGAGGCGTATCTGAAAAAAGTGTTGAGGAAGTTGATGGACTTTTAAAAAGGACGTTTGATCCTGGCAGGGGACTTTAACTTTTGTATGGAACCACAAAGGGACGCCACCTCCCATATAAAAAGAGAGGGAAGTAGGGCCCTGAAATTATTGAAAAAAGAATTACATATAAGTCAACTGGTAGATGCCTGGAGAATTACACATATGCAAGATAGAGATTATACTTTCTTTTCAAACATGCATAAGAGATATTCAAGACTAGATCATATATTAATAGAACATCAATTAATTGACCATCTGATCCAGGTAGAAATAGAGACAATATCTTTATCAGATCACGCCCCAGTTATTATGAAAATGGAATGGGGGAGGAGGAAAATCGGAGGGCTGGGATGGAAATTGAATGAGACACTCTTAGTGGAAAAGGAAATAGCTCAGAAAATAGGGGAGGAGATCGAACGCTTTTTTAAGGAGAATGAGACAGGTGAGGTATCAACAGCCACAGTGTGGGAATCTCATAAAGCATACATAAGAGGAATATTAATGGCAATTGGGGCAAGAAAGAAAAAAGAAAGAAGGGAGAAAATGAGTGACCTCTTAGAAGAAATAAGTAAAATAGAACAAATACATAAGAACAGAATAACAAAAGAAATAGAGCTGAAGTTAAAAAAAAAGCAAGAAGAATTGAAAGAAGTGATAGAAGAGGAGAGGAGAAAAGTATATAATAGAGTTTTGAGTGAGAGATATAGATGGGGAGAAAGACCTGGAAAATATCTGATGAGAGCCCTGAGGAAAAAGAAAAATAGAAATTATATAGAAAAAATATAAGATGCTAAAGGAAACATGTCGCATTCAAATAAAGATATCATCAAAGCCTTCACAGAATATTACAGGAAACTGTATAATATAAGCCCCCTGGAAGGATTAGAAAATATACAAAGTGAGAAGAATCAAAAAAGAAAGAAATATCTGGAAATGGCTGGGTTACTAAAACTAAGCGAGGATCAACTGAACTCCCTAGATGCAGATATCTCACAGGACGAAATAAAACTAGCATTGAAGGGGTCCGTGTCGGGGAAAAGTCCAGGACCAGATGGATATACAGTGAGATATTATAAAAAATTCAGTGAAATTTTAGTACCAAAACTTAGAAATTACATGAATGCTCTAGGTGGAGAGATGGAAATAAGAAGAGAATCATTACAAGCCCAAGTTGTGCTCATTCAAAAAGAGGGAAAAGATCCCTCACAGTGTTCGAGCTATAGACCTATTTCACTATTGAACACCGACATTAAGTTATATGCAAAGGTCCTAGCAAATAGATTGAAAGAGCTAATGCCAGAATGGATA